CCCTACAAGGTTCCATCCAAAAAAGGTGCTGGAACTCCGTTCTGGGCGTTCTATGACAAAAAAAGCCCTGCATATGCTAATGTTGCATAAATTACTTTGCTTCCAAAGCACGAAGTATTATTATTTAATATGTTCCCCACTGAATAATCACCTGAAAGTATGTTATTAAAATGCAGCACTGGATTTGTTGAAAAACTCAGGAAATTTCTTGACATTTGATTTGGCACAGTTTGACTAAGCTATAGATCTTGAATGTCGACAAGGAATCTCAGTCATCCAGGTCATGGTTGTTCCAAAGATGCTTTTTAAAAGGAAACTTGTCTTTCTTAGTTTTTTTTTTTCTTGAAAATGTTTCGCTTCTCATCCAAGAAGCTTCTTTAGAACTGGGACATTTCTGTCCAGTTGCCTTTTCAAAAGCACTTTTGGGATCCTGGACTTTGAAGATACCTCTAAAATAGCTGATCAACCTGTAAACATAGAGTTCTTTCCTTTGTGATTTCTGGTCTCTAAAAAATCTTTATTTTTTATTCATTTATTTATATATATTTTGTCTTTATTATTTTTACAAATAACTCAAGGTGGCAAACACATACAACAAAGTGAGAGGGTGACAACAGTCTTAGGCTAACAGTGGGAGAAAGCCTTTCTTTCCATTTCCTTTAAACTATGAATATATTCATTTGGAAACTCTGTAAAAATGTATTTCTTTCTCCCAAGTTCTAATTGTTAGTTTGATTTGTTTTCATTATTATATTATTATTGATTATATTACTAATATTGATTCCAATTTTCTTTATGGTTTTTTTTGTTTGTTAGCCGTTTCAGTACTTCACAAATTTTACAGACAGAAGTTAACCACTTCTTGTGTAACAGCCTTTTTCAACCTAGTGCTCTCTAAATGTTACGACTACAATTCTCAAATTTATAATTAATTTAACTGAAAATTTCAGGCATTGTAATCCCGAAACATCCATAGAACACAAGGTTAAAGAAAGATGAAACCGAAAGTTTAAAAGATACAATACAGTAGATCAGCAAAGGGATTATTTTTCACCCAAAGACACACAAACAAATGAAACAATCCTATGCCCTTAAGTATGATTTCATTTCCTGTGTTTGTATAGTAAAAGCATTATTTATGGACAGTTATTTATTCAGTTTGCCCCAAAAATTTTGTGAAACCAGACTGTGGGTTTAAAAAATGGCTGAATATTATGCATGGCCTATGTTTCCAGGATTCTAACAGTTTTGTTTTGGTTTCTGGGAAACATCCTAAATTAGTATGTACCAGAGAAAGATATTTCCCAATTTACGAATATAGTACTCACTTGGGCAGCACACATACTAAATTTACAAATATATACTTAAAAAATGGGAGCAAAAACACGTTGCCTAACAATGCAATTATGAGTTTTAACTTTTTTTATTTGCCAGCTATTTTAATAGCTACTTCTTCCATAACCAAGCACAATAAGGCAACTATTATTTCCCATACAGTGTGAGAAAAAAATAAAACAAACTCTTCTTCTAATATTTTCTATTAGCTAAGGTCAGCAATTTCAAGTCTTTTTTTAAAAACAAAATTCAATATGCCATAGTACATAAATAATACTGAATACCTAATGAGGTGAAAATTGAAATCTACTAGTTCTTTTTCAGACAATAAATGTTAATAAAAGAGACAAGCTTTCAAGAACCAGAGTTCACTTCATCACATATATGGTGGATGTATGGATAAACCGATATAGAATTTAAATTGGGATGTTTGGAGGGAGGGAAAGGGAGGAGAAGATTATGCAGATGCAGGTTACATATGAGATTATAAATATCTAATCAATTAACAAATGTAATGTGTTAAATCACATTCAATTTGTTGAGACTTTCTGAAAGACTTGAAACTTTTTAATGTAAATGAGCTGAAAATCATTTATATAGTTTTATACAATTTTATGGGTTCCTGCAAGCATCTGGAACCTAGCTAAAGGATCAAACGTTTACCCATAAAGCATCTCACAGCTTGGGACCAATATTCATTTATGTTACTTTCCATTAGGTCTATGACATATCAATGACGTCCTCTCAGCACTGCCCACTTGCCACAGCCATGTGGCAACAGCTACTTTGGTGAGGCCATCTTGACACAGGACAAATCACCACAGGAAACTTGATGCGAAACAACTCAAGTCATTAATGGTCACCAGACAGCTGTCACTAACCCTGCTTGCCCCTCTCTCCACTGGGAGCTATCAGGATAGCATGCTGAAGGAGAGATCCGCAACACCAAAGTTGGCATGGATGCCACCCTCCCAAGAGGGCCTGCAGGGAAAAAGAAACGGCTGTATGTGGCGTAGGCATGGTGGCAGGTTGGATGTGCCTCTCTCAAGCAGGCAGCAATGTTGACACAGCAGCCAGCCACATGGAACAGACATGTTCTGACCTGACCAAGCAGTTGTGCCCGTGGAACACCAGACCCAGAGATACAGCCCATCATGACACTGTTGTCAACAGCTGCCTCCCATGAAGGGAGGTGCTGCAGGGAGCACATAGAGTTGTCCCAAGACAAGTTTCCCCTGGCAATTTGTCCCATGCTGAGATGGCCACACCAAGGTCCATAGCAACATGGCCGTGGCAAGCTGGCGGTGCTGAGATGGCAGTGCCAAGACGTTCCATTCCATTTCTGACATTCTACTATTTCCCAAATATTTTAGATACCATTCCTTCGAAATGATGCTAATTATGGGTCATGTTATATAAATTATCAAGTGTTGAAATCAAAGCCTTCATTGTATAGATGCCCATCTTTTGCAGCACTGGCCTCAGGTTTATTATTTTTTATTTGTTGCACATTGGTATCAAAGGATTTCAGAGCATAGCATAATCCACATAAGTAAGTAGGCTAAGTGGTTCTTAGCATTTTAAAATGTGTTAAGTGTATCTAAGAGTTTATGTGTTATCTTTGCTTTGCTTCCCACCAAAGATTAAAAACCAATGGTTGTTTGGGAATTTGCCACTGGATTGCAGAAACTAAATTTTGAGGAGATGTAAAAAAAGAACTATCAGTTACTCCACTGCGCTCTACTCAATTTGTTTTTGGTAAGTTTTTTTGTGAACTTATTTTTAATATCATTTTAAAAGCAGCATCAATTTAACGTAAATTATCACACTGCAAAAAAAATAACCTGATTAAAAAAAACAATAAATTAGGTAACAATGAGATGGCATGGAATGGGATATTTGAGGGACCTTTTCCTGGTCACACCTCCCTGTTCTATCTGGTTCAGCAGGAAGTGCATTTTGTGGGTCCTGTTAGCAGGGAGTTTAATCAGGCAGGACCTAGGAGGAAAACCATTTCTGCCATGGAATACCATCCCCTCCCCCAAGGTGAGGCTGCTGAACTTCCAGAAAGCCCTAAAACTATGACAAAATGGAGTCTGCTAGATGACTACGGGACAACTGAATGCAATTTTGCACATTTTGACACCATTCTGTTGTTTTTAATTTTCTTTCATTGTGCTTTTATTTTTTTAATTTCAATTGGATGTTTTAATGATTTTATGTATTTTGATTGTTTTATTATGTACACCGCTCAGAGTCACTATGTGCAACGGGCAGTTATGCAAACGTAATTAAATAAATAAATGAATAAATAATATGAACAAGCAGCATTACTGGAGAAAGAGAGAAAAAGTAAGTGAAAAAAATACACTAAAAATTGATAAGAGAAATCATGGACTGGTAGAATACTGTAAACAGAAAGGTCCTTTGCTTTGCAGATAGAAATAGGACTCCACAGATTCCCTTTCTAGAAATCAAGACAATACAATGTACTCCCAAATATGATTAACTCCTAAAATTAAAAAAAAATCTTGCCTTGCCATCACTATTACAACATTTGCAGAAAAGAGTTGTTCCAGTGTTGTCCAGTAATGCAAGTATGCTGGTCACATACAATTAATCCTAAAAAGACTCTAATAAACCGATTATTTTTCATTATTTTAAATTACCATCCGCCCCTACCAACATAGTCAGTTATACAAGAAATGATGGGGGGAAATCATTTTAAAAAACTGGAAGAAACATAGTGGTATATAAAATCTAGTACCTTAAATGTATTAACAAGAAAGACAGGATTGAAGCACCATAGGAAAAATGATCTCTTAACTGAGAGAAGATAAGATTTCTGCAATTTAATTTAAATGCCTGAGATAGCAATATTTTGCAGAAACTGTCAGTATGCAAGAACAGAGAGTCCATCACATATTTTAAGAATGTGAAACTTCTTAGAACACCTGAATATCTTGATTGGATTTGCTAAATACCAAAAAAAAAAAACCCTACCATATATTGGTAATCAAAAGTTAGTGTAATTACATCACATCTTTAGTTTAAATGCTAAGGAGAATCCCTTTGATTGTCATTTGAGTTACAAGTAATTTAATTCAGGCTTTTTTAACTTGGACCCCCTCCATGTCCCTGAGGCTATAATTCTCAAATTCCCAGCCAGTATAATAATGTTAACACATCAAGTAGATAGCTGCAACCCTTTAGAAGCATTTACTTTTTGTCTATTAGTCTAAACTGCCCTAGAAAACTCTTCCTCATCCTAACACCTTCCCGATCTGATGGGAAAACATCTGGAAGGTGCCAAGTTGGGAAGCCTGGTTCAAAGTTCACTTTTGAAGGGGAAGAATCTGAAAAAATGCCAGATGCAAAATGTAAATTATGAGTCCCATTCAAAGATATGAAATAAGTCATCAATTATGGCTATCTCTCTCTCTCTCCCCACCCTCTCTGTCCCTCTCTCTCTTTCTTCCTCTCTCTCTCTCCCTCCCTCTCCCTCCCTTAATCCCATTGTAAACTAAGTTATTTAAACAGCTCTTACTTCTCATAACTATTACAGAATTACACTGAAAATTCAATTTCATTAATTACACTATGAATCATTCCTGGACTGTATCCAGTTACTTTACTATTTGGGAAAAAATGGAAAAATGTCCTACCTGGTCTGTATTCCCTAGTTCTCTTTTGTTTGCCTGTGGACCATGACAATTTTCTTTTGCAAATTTCTGGACAAGTTCGATGTGCCCAATATCTTCTCGTTCTTGAAGCTTGCACATAACGCCTGCCTTCAGTGTTGATGGAAAAGGAAAAAGATATTTAAATCCACAATCCCAGGACATGACACTCACAAACTTTTAACTTCACCAAAAACTCATCTTCTCCATTTCACCCTCTGAATTGTTCAAATTTTATGCTGAGCAAATCATTGTTTCTTGCTTTAAAAAAAAACAAAACAGGCACCAGTCACACAACTTTCTCCTTCTATGTGATGCTTTCTGCTTAACATAGCAGAGGCAATGTTGAACTAAATAAGCTGCTATTATGGATGCAGCTGATATGCAGGCAGTGCGTTTGTTCCCGTCAACTTGTTTCCTGTTACATAAGAGAACCACAGTAAAAGTTACAAATTCATTGGAAAGTTAGCCAAGAACAGCCCTGGAAAAGGATGGAGAGCAAGAGAGTCATTCCTAAAAATAACAGCACAAGCTTTTATTTCACACACTCCACCCTTTCTTTATGTATAACATATAACTATTAAAGTATGTTAGATAAAAAAGACAAAAGATATGTATATTATAGGTATATGTATTTGATTTTTGTTGTTTCAGACATGACCGTCTATAAAAATAAATGTTTTGTATGAAGATATTATCAAGTGTCTGTGAAAGATAACTAGCAGTATTTTGATACACAAATGTCTTTATGTGCAAACAGACACAATTTAAGAATCTAAAATATAAGTACATCTTTTCATATGGATAGCATAGTCATAAAGAACTTGGGCTGGCTATCAGAAGCTCGAAATTCAAGTTATCCAGTAGACTGCAGAGTTCATTGGGTGATTCTGAACAATTATTCTATCTTAGTCAATCTCACTTGCCACAGATCCCCTCCCACAGACCGGTACGCTCCCACAGAGCGGGCCTCCTCAGGGTGCCGTCGGCCAAGCAATGTCGGCTGGCGACCCCCAGGGGGAGGGCCTTCTCTGTGGGTGCCCCCACCCTCTGGAACGAACTACCCCCCGAGATCCGGACGATTCCGGACCTCCTACCTTTTCGCCGCGCCCTCAAGACATGNTTTCAACAAGCGGGTCTGGCCTAGGGAGAATTTTTAAATAGGGACAATTTTAATTTAAATTTTAATTAATTATACAGCGAAAAAAAATATTTGGTTTTTAACAGGTTTTTATGGGGGGATGATGTTTTATGTGTTTTAATATGCTGTAAGCCGCCCTGAGTCCTATAGGGAGAAGGGCGGCATATAAATCCATGTTAAAAAAAGGGAATGAAGAGAAAACTCCACCTTAAAATTATAAAAAGGCAGAATATCAGGGCTTTTTTTGTCATAGAACGCCCAGAACGGAGTTCCGGCACCTTTTTTGGATGGAACCCTGTAGGGTAGGCAGGGCAGGTTATATGATGTGTGTGAGTTCCGGCACCTTTTTTTTTTTTTAAGAAAAAAAGCACTGGTAACAACTCTGTGAAGCCATTGGGCTGAAGCAGTGTCTGGCCCAAAGTCACCCAGCTGTTTTCATGTCTAAGACAAGACTGGTTTCATGTCTAAGCCTGGAGCCTTAACCACTAAACCAAACTGGCTTGAAAAGAAAAAAAAATACTACAGTATAGTGATTCTACAGCACAGCAAAATCTTGTTATCTTAATGACAGTAAAATGATCTCAGGAAATTATGTTCTTAAAAGCAAAATTATCACTAATAAATGAATAAGTCAAAAGTAATATAAAGATAAATAATTGAATCTCTTAAAGAAAACTGAGAAAAAAATGTTGTCATCCTTTTAAGGTTAATATCACTAAAAAGGATTTTCTGTTCTCAGAACTATTCTTGCTTTACACTCAGACCTTCAAAACTTCTGTTGACTACAATAAAAATCACAAAACACTAATCTCAGCTTCCCTTAACCTTGAGATTTGCATTCCATTTATGAACTTGCAGATGCTCATTTATCAGTTTGTAACTATGTGTATAACAAAAGGAACCCTACATGATAGTAAACCATACAGTTATTTCTGCATGTTTTTTTAAATAAATCAGAATTGGTTAGCTTGGTGAATCAGGGTTACTATTACATACAATGGTTTAGCATAAGATACAAATGAACAACATTATTATTAATGTAATCTATAAATTCAGCTTCCTCTATATTGTTCTGTCAGGTAAGACACTTTGAGACATAATGAGAAATTTAGAGAAGCAAAAAAATTCTGATTCACACTTGGCAAACCAATAAAATCTACTGCCTTATTGAACAGAATGATTACATATACAATTGATAAATTATTACTTTGTAAACAGTGTTCAATAATAATTTTGTTTACAGAAAAAATACATTCATTAGTGCTACCAAATGGCCAAATATGCAAATTAATATATGGTCTTGTGCTGGCCTTATCTGTTTCATCTCAGTTTAACACACCCAATAATTTCTATAAAGTAAAAAAATGGTGTATTAGCTAATATGCATGTTGACAGTTTTGTGAAATGTTCACAGTAGTTTTCAGACCAATTAAATGTCTGGATTCACTGAAATTGAAATACTTTTGTTTTCTGTAATTCACTTGCATAATCTTATTACCATGCTGCTTATTAGACCAGATGAATACTTAATGAATTCCTTTGTTTTTAAATCTCGAACAACAAAACCTTGAAATGAGCATTTATATAAACTCAATATGGACAACAAAAAAACCCAACCTAATGGTCTGAACATGACGTGCAACCAAATGATAAATACATCAACTGTTCTTTAGTAAATATAAATATAAAGTATTCATTATATATTGAAATGAATAACATGCTATCATTATTTATAGTTTTCCTAATACAGCTATTCCAATTTTGCCCTTCCTGGATAGATTGGTAAAAGCTCTGGACCAACACAATTGAAAGTCACCAGATGTAAGGAGTATGGCAACATTTGGTCAATTAAACAGAAACTTGCAAAAGATCCTATCTATTTTCCCACATGGAACAAACAGAAGAGAGGGATTAAAATTACAAACATGTTTTTATTTATTCATATATTCAATTTATATGGCCACCCAGTTGATAATCGGGGTGCATATACTGTATATTAAAACCAATTAATTAAAAACATATTTAAATATACTTATCATTAAATAGGAGGACCAAAGAGTTAAGCTACCCTCTACTAGTACTGAGAACTTCACAGATAGTACTTACCCAAAGCAGAAACAATCAACACAGTCCGTTATGATGCATCAGGTTTGATCTTATAAAATGTTACTGCAATTACTGTCATCAGCCTTCTTCAAACAACATGAGCCAACTCCCATAATAGTTAGTTAATGTGTCCTAATCCACCCCATCTGTTCATCTCAATTCAACATCAAGTTGAAGGCAGCTATCATACATCAAATAATAATTTGTCTCTGGTTTATTGAATTTTAAACAGTCAACAGGGGAAATCATCCATATCCTCAAGGGCTAGGTTGCCAAGTCCTTTAATTCAAAAGCACATCTTAATTAGTGGTGGAGTCAGCCTGCTACATAAAAATAAATGTAGTAAGGTTTGAAGAAGGAATTTTTTTAAAAAAGAAGCACTGCTGGAATTGGCAAATGACAAAAGTCACATCATTTTTTTTCTTCCCAATTTTTTAAAATAATGTTTTTATTAAGCAGGTAGGATAAATCCAGAAAAATAGTAGCGATGCAATTTCTTGCATGAATGGACAGGTAGCTAACATCTTGCAATAGAAATGCATTGTCCACTTGTTAGGGACTTATATTTTTACCTTCTACCCAACATCAGACTATATCTCAATACGAGATATAGCAAAGTTTGTTCCTTGGGCACAAGTTTCCACACCGAACCAAATTTTACATTACTTTTCAGGAATTAAACTATAAACCTTTATCTTTTTACATGTGGTATTAAAGAGATTTAAGCCTTTCCTATAAAAACTACAAATTATATTGCCCAAAAATAATATATTAATTCAGTTTTATTCACTTTAATCCAAGAAATCAGAATATGACAATACTACAAATTCATCTACGTAAAAGGATAAATGTAGAAGTGTAATCGCACACCTTATTTCCAGGAGGTTAGGCCTTTAAATAGCAGAAAGTGCCAAACAAAATCATGTAGTTTTGTATATTATGTCTAGCAGGACTGTGGGGTAGTACACAAGTATTAGAAATGACATTTATAAAAAGAGGATCCCCCAAACTCTATCATGTATGAGTAATCATTTTCTACCTGTACATCACAGATATCCTTCTGGTTTTTTTGCACTATTGCTTCTCCACTGCAGATGTCATAACTTTGATTCATTGCTAAAGAAAAAGAAAATAAAAGAGACATAAAAGAGCTTCTAACAGGAACTATAAAAACTAACATTCTATCTATATACCTGCCAGCAATTTTAAAAGCAACTTCTTACTACCACATTCAATATAATTCATCATCTTCAAGAAATATTTTGATTACAATTTTAGCTAGTTATATTTTAGTATGTAACTGTCGTAGTGTAGCAATAACCTCCTGATGTTATTTCTGTTAATTTGTAGAGTTAACAGAAACTACAAGCAATATTTACTGTATATTTATTATGCTTCTATTTTACTTTCCTTCCAGAGAGACCACTCGTATAGATACATATTTAGGTACTAAAAAGATATTTCATAGAAATTCATTAATTTTCATCCCAGTAAAATAATGATAAAATACAAAAACGTCCATCAGTAAAAAAAAAATAAATAAATAAGAAAAACAAAATTAAAACAGTGAGATATCACTACCAGGTTCATTAGTGGGCAGTACTAACCATCAGGAAAAAATCTGAGACAAAAACTGCTGTTCTCAGTCGCCAGTGAAGCCCCCTCCCCCACCCAAGCTATGAGCCTGCCTTATTTTAATCTCCCCTCTTTTTATCTTTACAGGAACTCCTTCAGGAAGTCTTGTCTGCATCTCATTTCCTAGGCATTTCCATCTCGAAGGACCCAGGAAGATAATGTTTGTGCCCTGGTGTTCGTCCTTTGGAATATCATGTTCCCTGAGATTAGACTTGCTCTTGCCCTGTGATCTTTTGCCTTCTTGTCTGGGATTCTAGCAGTAAGAACGAACCCGTCTTATGACTGATTTGGATGAACTGAATGTTCTCAGCAGTTATTCTATGCTATTGATATTGTGTATTTTTTTAAAAAAAAAATTGGTTATATAATTGTTAGCCATTCAGAGTCATGTGCATATGAGATAGCAAACATAATATTTATTGAATTTTTTTTTAAAAAAATGACAGCCAAATACTTTATAGCTTCATTCCTCTCTGCAGTAAAAGGCAAACTTCCTGGGTCCTAATCTAATACTAATCATTACAGAGATTGCTGACTACATAAAGACACATACTTTATGTAGTTAGTTAGCAATAAAAATTGCTAACCAGAGCAGAATACTAGCATACTGATATGGTTCACACATTAAATTAAGCTACAAACATTTTTATAAGCTACAATGACTGCATCACCCAATGTTCTATATCAAATTAAACAAACTACTTTATGGCAAAGTAGTTGCCATAGATATTCTAACTCATTCATAAAATTCCCTTCTTATTCACTCTTCCACCATACATTTTTAAAATGCTAGAAAATTTCTCTAGTTCTCAACACCAATGAAATATTTTATTAAAAAATAATGTAAATTCAATCCTTTCAACCAATTTTTTTCCATTGTTCTATATGTATATTATAACCAACATTTTTATTAAACACTTGAGGGAAGTCAGAGCCCCAGAGAAGGAAATATTAAAAGGGCAGAAAAATATATTTCCTCAAAAGGATTTTTAAAAGCAGAAACCAACTCTGCCCCCAAATATCTCTGCCCCAAGCAGGAGCCAGCCCTATACAAATGCAAATGTAAAACCATCAGAAAGTTGGAACCAGAAACTCAAGAAGACAAAGAGACCTAAAATCTGTATACCACACCCAAACTCTAGGAGCCATTAGCCCCATCACCAGGGAAGCAGGATATGATAATAGGACTAACCCATCACCATAAAGAATGCCACAGAGGCACACCTAAACTCAGGTCAGAATACGTGACACAGGAAATATCCTCAAAGTTCATGCCACAGGAACAGGAAACTATTCCAAACAAAAGGCTAGAGAGGGTATAAAAACCTACTACCCATGTGCTCAGGCCCTTCTCTTCTCTTGTCTTTCCTGAAAGAATCATCTTTCTGGCTCTTCAATAAATTGCAACCTTCTTCCCAAAGCAGTCGCCATTTTGTTTATTTATCCCCGGCTTGGATGAACCAGGATGAAGCCTTTACTTCCCACACACTTTTACTTGTTCTTCTGTTCCAAATTTTAATACAAATTTACATATTTTAGTAACTACATATTCATCATTTGTATATAGTTCTATTTCAAACTCAGCCTTACTATGTTCAAAACTACAAATTATTTTTGTTTACTTTCAGTTAGAAAATTTTAGATATTAATATACAATTGAAACTGAAGATTTTTGAGGTGGGTAGATAAAAAGGTTATGGAATTTTGTTTTTATAACTATAGTAAGGTTATTACATGCAAAATACGCAAAAAATTGTTACTACACACAGTGAATGGTTGTTAAAGATAATTGAATTTACTGAGATAATCAAATAGACTACATGGATCAGAAAAAAATAAGTTTATTGCTAATAAATTTTGCAGACTTTTTGAGTGAAACAGTCAAAAATAAATGTATGATTTATAGTTTTGATTATTAGAAAGAATATAGAAAAGAGAGTTATTTTGCAACTATAGAGCAAATATAAATTTATAATTATAATAACTGCTCTAAAGACAATCAGAAGTGGCTTCTTTGCATCTTTTTTCCTTCTTTGCTTTCATACATTCAGTTCCTTCTTTGATTTTGTTTTCCTTTTCTTTTTCTTATTATATATTAGCAGTGCTTTTTTTCTAAAAAAAAAAAAATAGATGCCAGAATTCACACACATCATACAATCCACCTTGCCTACACTACAAGGTTCCATCCCAAAAAGGGCCGGAACTCTGTTCTGGACATTCTATGACAAAAAAAGCCCTGTATATTAGTTAACTTTTCTTACATTTTTAAATAACAATACATGAGTGCCTGTATGTTTCCCTCCCTCTCTCTCTCTGTGAGTGTGTGTGAGACTCTCTCTCTCTCTCTCTCTCCCTCTGTGTGTGTGTGTGTGTGTACACGCACGGATATGTGCACACATGTGTGTATAAAAGGGAAGTAGTACAAAGTGCAGTCCATCAAAATCAGTTAGCTCTAAGAATTATTTTCTAAGATTCTGAATATATATAGAAAATACAGCAGTCATTCAGCTTGAATTCTAAACAAGTCCAGCTTCCTTTTCTGCATATACAAGGACACATGAGCAGTGGTGGGATTCAAATATGTGAATAACTGGTTCTCTGTGTGGATGCCGCTTCCGGAAGTCCATTCTGGGCCTGGGCAACAAAAAATTAGCTACCAGTTCTGCCGAAGTGGTACGAACCGGCTGAATCCCACCATTGTACATGAGCACATATGTAAATATTCATGGGAAATGATTAAATATATAGATATCTATCTCCATTGTAAAATTCTTTTTTTGGCACTATTGTAATGGTTGCTGAATGAGCGTTCAGTAAGTTAGAACTATCTGTACTCCAATCATGTCTCATTTGTATCCTAATATGTCAGAAAATAAGTGAATTTTGGCAATTTGATTTTTTTCATTCTTTTACTTCAAAATTGAGAATGTGCTCCTATTTAAACCACACTCCAAATGACTCATATATAGGTCCAGGTTTGATTAATGCAGATAGGAATAAATATGGGAAACCTCTGAGCAGCCAAACCATCTCTTCAGTAGCCCATAAAATGCCTTTAAAATTGATTCAAAATCTTGAATTTCACAAATGTTTAAAATTTAAATGTTTAAAACTTAGGAAACTTTCCTATAGCAATTCTTCAGAATCTTTGGGTTGTCATAAGACTTCTAATAAAAATGCCTATTATGGCAACAGAAAGAATCTGCTCAGTGCCTTGTTGAAAAGCAAAAGAAGGCATTTTTATAACTGGAATGCAAAAACTATAGATAGAGCCATACATCAATTCAATAATGCACAAACAGGGTAACTAAAGAACAAAGAATTCACTCAATTTTATTACAGCTACACCTTGTTTATACCTATGTTTTTTGCTTTATCGGTGCAATAAGGCTCAGCTCCATTAATAAATGAAAGGTAGAATATTAAATAACATCAGGTCGCTGAAGTGTAATTTCAAATGCATTCAAATCCCCATAAGCTTAAGGGATTTAGGATGCTGATTTTTTAATAGCCACTTAAGAGATCAGGATGCTATCCCTTGTTTTTATTTCATTATTCATTATGTGGACAGCAAGAAGCATTTTCCTTCAAGATTTTTAACATAAAACAAGTAATGGAGTAAAGGTTTTACTAACAAAATGGATTGCTATTCTTGCTAAGCAAGGTTTATTTGATTTCGTCAATAAGAATAGTCTTCTCTGTCCTTAATGGAAGATTCACTTGATGCATAATAATCATGTATTATTTCTTTAAGTTAAAATTAAGATTACTCCATAGTAATTCCATTATTGGCTTCTACTTTTATTGGTTTAGCAGAGAAAAATCTTATGCCAAATTGAAATCTATGTAAAACAGAATTGAAATTAAACTTACTTCCACAAGATGGTTTACAATGGATTTAAAGAAGAAATCAAGAGTATGCCCTTGTCTATTATCAGAATTGGCTGTAGTACGTTTGAGGGAAAAGTTGAATTATGTAGCCAATCTTTCATGGGTTTATGTGCAGATTCTAGTCCCAAAAGCATTTTTCAATGTGTAGATTATTAGGATTAAAGACCCTGCATAGAAATTGTGGATGCTACTGCTAACAAATTATAAAAGCATAGAGGAACTTTTAGCAGAAAGAGTAACCTGGAACTGAATACAAGAAGAATGTATACTCAAATATAAAAGGAATATTTTAGTGTATTGGGTACTTTCACTCAAGAACAGGATATATTTCTCTACGTATGTGTGTTTATCTCAGTATTAAAGTTTAATCCATAGTCTCCCACGATGGCCTTCCCTAACATCACTATCAGATAAGCTAGACTGGGAGGGCACTAGGTAGGGAAACACAATTCTGCTATATTATACAAAACAATTCTTAAATTTATCAGTATAGACTTCAGAGATAAAATTTTAAACACAGACTAATTACTTATGCCCAATATATTCTGCAGTCAAACAGAATGGAACAATATAGCCAAGGAAAGTGTCAA